TGAATTTAAGCCCAAAGTTGAGGGGCAGGTTCTTCAAAAATGGAACAGGGGCTACAACTCTGATGCTCTGTAAAAATGTGATTCCTTAATCTTTTAAAATAAAACAGAAAATGCAGGAGTACTGAGTTGCTCTGGTAGAATCTGTGGACAAAGAAATAAAGTAAATGTTATCATTACCTTTTTTTTCTTTCTTTGAATGGATGCTGCCAGACCTGCTGAGTAATTCCTGCAGTTCCTTTTTCTATTTCAGATTTCCAGCATTAACAGTATTTTGCCCTTAGACGTTCTGGATTGTTTCTACCTATAATTACAAGGTCCATAAATGTTTGCTAATTATTTCAATTGTAGGGAATTTTGCTCTACAAATTTCATGTTTGTAATTAAGCAAATTCTGAAGCCCAACACTGACCATTGCAAAATCTGTCAGATTTTGAATGAAGATTTGTTCAAATTTGGATTGTTACCTATGTACTCAATGAAAATCTAGAAATAGAAATCACGTTATTAATTTATCTTTGAAACTCAAGTACTTTTTTCAAACTATATTTTATAAAAATGGCATGAAAGCAAGATTGTAATATTGTAATAATTCTCTTTGACCATTATTTGTATTGTCATACTTTCCAAGCTGATTGACTAGGTAACTCAAGGCAGCTATCAGTATGTAACCCTAAAAAAGAGAAAAAAAATCAGGAGTGTTTCTGTAATCCATCCCAGTTTCAGAGATTTGTTGGTAGTGTGTGCATGAATAGCTCGCTCAGTGGTTCAGTGTTTGAATGCACTGTTTTGTTCAATGATTTAGACTAGATGTCTGGTTTAACCTAATGTGTGAATTATGCTAAGTATGCCATGACCCATCTGACTCTTTATTACTTTCAGTAAAATTCTCTTTAAAATCCTTATGAATTATCAAGTTTTTGTTCATCTGTTGTAAATAGTTACTTGCTATTTGTCCTTTTTCTTCAGTTAGGTAATCATAGGGCAATTTTAACATTAAAAACACAGCATAAAATTATAATTTCATAGGAATTCTGAGAGAATCGTAACTGAAGAGAAATAGTCAACCTCTAACAGATATGTATCTACTAACCATTCATGGAAATGAAACAAACATGATGAACTCATTGGTGCTGTATCTTAGATAGTAGGAACTGCAGATGCTGGAGAATCCGAGACAACAAGGTGCAAGGCTGGATGAACACAGCAGGCCAAGCAGCATCATAGGAGCAGAGAGGCTGACGTTTCGGGCCTAGACCCTTCATCAGAAAAGGGGGAGGGGAAGGGGGTTTTGAAATAAATAGGGAGAGAGTGGGAGGCGGATAGAAGAGGGATGGAGGAGAGGATAGGTGGAGAAGAAACAAACAGGTCGAAGAGGCGGGGATGGGGCCAGGAAAGGTGAGTGTAGGTAGGGAGTTAGGAAGGGGATAGGTCAGTCCAGGGAGGACGGACAGGTCAAGGGGGCGGGATGAGGTTGGTCGGTAGGAGATGGAGGTGCGGCTTGAGGTGGGAGGAGGGGATAGGTGGGAGGAAGAACAGGTTAGGGAGGCAGGGACGAGCTGGACTGGTTTTGGGATGCGGTGGGGGGAGGGGAGATTTTGAAACTTGTGAAATCCACATTGATACCATTGGGCTGCAGGGTTCCCAAGCGGAATATGAGTTGCTGTTCCTGCAACCTTCGGGTGGCATCGTTGTGGCACTGCAGGAGGCCCAGGATGGACATGTCGTCTGAGGAATGGGAGGGGGAGTTGAAATGGTTCGCGACTGGGAGGTGCAGTTGTTTGTTGCGAACCGAGCGTAGGTGTTCTGCAAAGCGGTCCCCGAGTCTCCGCTTGGTTTCCCCGATGTAGAGGAAGCTGGAGATCGCAGAGAAGTAGATGTGGCAGGGAGCTATGGAAGCTCAGTTATTAAGTAAGTTCAATACAGAGATGTATAGATTTTTAGTTAGATATCAAGAGATATGGGAAGAGATGGATGATCAGCCATGATCTAGAATGGTGTAGCAAGTTTAAGGGCCTGAATGGCCTACTCATCCTCCCATGTTCCTATGTGTCTGACAGGACTAATAATACACCTTAAACATAATTTGATAAAATTATAAAGAGATCATTTCAATTTTTCAGCAAACAAACTCTTACAAAAATTATAATAGTGAAATTTCAAAATAATCCCTTCATTTATAATTTCCATTTAACATTTTATCAAACATCCTGAGTTGGATGGGTGCAGAAAGGCATGACAGTTACAGTACCTGAATGTGAAGAATTTGCAAGACAGATAAGGAAGGAATAGGACTAACTAATGTTTATTGCACTTAATGAAGTGTGAATAATTTAGGTATTCATAAATAATTAATCAGACCTGCCTCTGCATTGCCTCATCTCTTCAATGAAATCATGCATGCATGACCTGTGTCTGTTGGTCAGGTGTCTGCCTGCCAGTCCAGGCACTGGACGACTTAATCATTATGCTATTTTAATGAATTAGAGAATATGTATGAGAACCGTCAGGTATAATTTAATGACAAAGATCTTTTACCATTACTTTTCCTAAACGTTAAAATATATGAACTATGACAATATAGCTGTGGAAGGCCACTTTGAGTTTTGCATTTTTACATTCTGAGTAGCAGATTATTTGCATTACCTTTACTTGTCTAGTGAACTTCTGGGTCAGAATATTCTTGAACTTCAACTCAATATAAGAAGAAATACTGAGGATGTGTTATATTGTCAGAATGGCAGTCCTTTTGATGAAATGTTAAACAAAGTCCCACTTAAGTATTTCACTGGTTCAGGCAGACAGTAAAGTTTGCATGTCACTGTTTAAAGAAGAATAGAGAATTCTTCTGACATAAAAGGCAATAATGCATTCAAAAGAATAACACACTTGTTCACTCTACATATGCTGGATGACCAGGCGGTAGTTATAGCTTAAGAGATAACAAGGTGTAGAGCTGGATGAACACAGCAGGCCAAGCAGCATCATAGGAGCAGGAAGGCTTCCTAAGCTCTACACCTTGTTTTCTCAGATTTTCTAGTGTCTGCAGTTCCTACTATCTCTGAGGCAGTTATAGCTTTTCTATTGTTGTAGATCTAATTTCAATTCTTTGTCAAAGCTAAGTTACCATGTCTCAGGTAAAACTGTGTCTGACACATTAAAACAAAACATGTTATGGCTTTTACCTCAGGACAGAATTCCAGCAGCAGAATTGCAAATCTAGTTTTTCATGAGTGTGCAGTTCTGGGAATGGAATAAGGGAGCTGGATTTAGCAGTACAAGCACTTACACACCAGTCTTTTGAGACCTCAATTATACAAACTTCAGCATAAAGTACATCAATTGACCTCAATGCTCTTGAGCAAAAAAGAATGATCAGTCTGAGGTTCTTCAGAAAGGTTTGTATTAGGACATTAAATTAAAATGGATCAAGTTCAACTTTAATTCCCTTTGTCTCCAAGTAATTGACTGACATCAGCTGAGTAGGTTAACATATTAAGAAAGGCGACTTGGAAAATAATTACCATTCATATAATGGAATATCTCAGCAGAACTCAAAGTAAATTAGCAAAATTCCAGAAAAAGAACTTTATATTTTATTGACTCAGAGTTATATCAAGCCACACATATTTGTGAATATTACTAAACTAAGGGCTCTCTATTATCTTTTTGGGTTACCTGTTTATTTGTACTTGGAACTTTAGTGACGTAAAATTAAAAGTTTATAAATCACATACATTGATCAAACACATTATACTTGTGACAGAAAGCTTCATTTGTAACGTTCAGTAAAAATTAAGGATCATAATTCTATGCATGAATTGAAAATAGATTAAATCCTTTCTTAACATTAAGGACAGATTTGTGTTAAAATATACTGAATATTCAGATATTGGATGCTGCATGAGAGTACAAAATAAAACAATAATGCACATCAATGTTTAGTTACTAACTTTGGCACAATTATAACAACAATTCAATCATTTGTTAAAATGCAATTAATTTGTGACTTTAACAAACGATTGAATTGTAAATTAATTGCAATTAATTGATTGATTAAATTAGTTTGTGGAACATGTTAAATCAATCGTGAAACTTTATTTCAAAATTACTGAGGTGCTGAATGTAGGTTGGCCTATTCTTCAATCTTATCGACCATTGGCATGAAGCTTCCTGATATTCCTGTGATAAAATATTTCTATGATCTATCTGTGAATTTATAAAATTTTAGTTTACTTCAGTACAAGTCCCCCAAAAAAGTATATGTTCTTCTGGCGGAAGTTGGGAAACAAAATCATTCGAATATTCAGATTTACCGTGTACTTTGTTAAACCTGTGAGTGTCTATCATTTATTTCTCCCTGAAATGTTACGGTCCTTTAGCGAGATTTGAGATTGAACAAGTTTTATCTTCAATTTTCCACCTTTTCATACCTTTAGCTGGGATTCCAGACGTCACAGTCATCAAGGGCCAGAACCATGTCTCCAGATAATGTGCTGAAGACAAGAGACTGGAGACAATTAGCCCTGGCAGAAATTTCCTCACTTGGTTAATTCATTCTTTTGTTTCATTTCTCACGTTTGGCATTTGTCAAAGCACAACAGAGACAAGGGGTTGCTGGAGTCTGCCTGTCTACTGAAAACTATGCGCAGCATCCTAAAAGTCGAACTTGGAACTGTGTAAATCTGAGATTTGCTTTTAATATTAAGTACAATCCAGAGACACCTTGCAAGTGAAACAAAGAAAATGCAGTAAACCTCAGGGCACTGAGCCGCTCCATGTGAATCGCTGCAGTCTGAAAAGGTGCTGTGTTTATAATCTCCGCCTCCACTATAGTCGCAACGATTATTTAAATAGAGAATAGAGTCAGGGGCTTATCTGAAGTATTTTGACAGTTTGTTGATAATTGATAAAACAGATCACTACAGATATAAATACTGCCACAAACGCTGGAGCAAAGAAAAAAGAAATCTGCAGTTTACTTTTGCGCTCACATCTCAGAGATGCCTGGTTGTACGCGGGAATGTCTTCTTTCGCTGATCTGTGCCCTGTCATTCGCGCTAATCGATTGCTTTGACATTGGAATATCGACCAAGTGCGTGTCCGTGCCGAAAGAAATGGGCTTATGTCAGGATGTCGGATACACGGAGATGAGGCTTCCAAATCTGATGGGCCACACGACACTCAGAGAAGTTATCCCAAAATCTGCTGAATGGGAGTCGCTGCTTCGCACTGGCTGTCACACTCACAGCGCCACGTTTCTCTGCTCCTTGTTTGCTCCAGTCTGTTTAGACACGTAAGTAATCCGCTCGCAATATCCCGCCTGGCTACTTCTCATAAAGGTTCCTTTGATTTCGGTCGTTGAGAACATTGTTGAGTAGAATCTGCACATTGCCTCGTCCCTGTTGCGGAACATTTGGGAAAATGAGCAATAAGTAATTTTGCCCCATTGTGTGGTTTGCAGGTTCCTCCAGCCTTGCAGGAGCCTGTGTGTAGCTGTCAGGGATAGTTGTAGCCAAGTGCTTACCTGCCACGGACAGTCCTGGCCCGATGCCTTTGACTGTGATCGATTCCCCGCCGATGAGGACACCTGCCTCACATCCATCAGCACAGAATCTTCGACTTATCGAAAATGTGAGGCCTACGAGCAATTCCACTTGTTTCAGTGTCAC